CTGTTCAAAGGGACGCGGCCTAACGAATGTTCGTTCTCTGCTTCTGATGTGCTCTGGGGGATTACCCGTACGCGATCGAGGCCTCCGTCGGTGGTGCCCCCGTGTGCTTGGTACGTACTGGAGAGCACGCATGTCACCGATCAGCAATCCGTCATGGGTTTCGCCAGTGATCCTTCGCGTTGAGATGCACCGAGACATGCACGTACTGAACGTGGGTATCGCGGCGCCGTGGGTCTGACACGTCTGTTGTGGTTTGAGGCTTCATCACTGGTCGCCTCTGTGCCTGGTGGCACCAGCCCAGAGCGACAAACCACCGGGGTCGTGCGCCCGGTGTGTTCTACACATCTCACCACTGGGGATCTTCCGTCAGGTCAGTTCTCACTTCGGTGCGTTCGGCGCACCCTGCACACTTCACTGTTGGGGTGTCCCGTCCGTGGCGTTTGGCATGCGCTGAGCAATTCACCACCGCCGTCTCGTGTTCGGCATGTCCTGAGAAGGTCACAGCCCGCTCGCCGCCGGTCTACTCGCCGGCGGCTCTGCCGGGAGTGGCCGGCCTGTCCGTCGGCCCGTCGTGATCGCCCGGTCCGGCCGGCGCCGTCGGCTCGCCCGGCCCGGCCGGGCTGCTCGCGCTCCTCGCCGTCGGTGGCGTGCTGGCTGGCCCAGCGGCCGATTCAGCTCGGCCACGCGCTCGTGCTGGAACCCGCACGGCGTCCTCGCGCGGCGTTGTTGCCCCAGCGGTCGCGGATGGCCGGCGACACAGCGCAGTGGTGCAACAGGAACTCGACGCACTCGAGGTGGCCCTCGGCCGCCGCCACGTGCAGCGCCGTCCGGCCGTCGTAGTCCCGCTCCGACATGTTCATCCCCGACAGCTTGTGCCTGTCGGCCCGAGGCGTGGTCAGCGCGCGTGGGTTACGAGGAGCGGTGACACGGCTACCAACGACCAGTTTTGTCTGCCGGCCGGCGCAAGGTACCTACTAATCGACGAACGCGCCGGAGGGAGGCGTTTCCATTCCGAACAGATTGAGCGTGGTGGTCCACGGTAGTGACCGCACTGGCCGATACAATGAGAGGCCAGGTATTCCAGACATCGACGATACACAGGCGTTGACTCAAGACAGTGACTCCACCGTCACTCTATTCTTCTGTCTGTTGCGAGGCATGGCCATCCATGCTTGTCTATCACACCAACCCGGTAGAAGCAAGTCTAGGTGTACACTTACGAGCACGTTTAGGTGCACGCGCAGAGCTACAGAAGGAAAACAGACGGCGAGCATGCATTCTAGTGGCAGGGCCCTGTTCCTAATAATGAATAAGATCCGTTCGCTACACGCCACGTTGGTAAAAAAAACATTGCAGTTCTACTACCACCATACCTTCTCATGGCGCTAACGTCCCCTGAAGCTGCGGAGAAGAGCAGGTTCACAATGTTGATGCCCTTTGTTTCGTGCTTGTGCCGCCTTGGGTCCTTCTTATCCGTGCTGTACTTTAAGTTATCATATCGGTGGAAGTTGAACATGTTGACCAGCTCCTATCGGCAAGAGGGTACATTCAAACATGGCTGTCGAATGTTTCGAAATTCTCCGCGCACTGCGATCTGTCATTCTTAGGCCGACGAATTTTTTGGACCCGGGTTTAAGTGAACATGACTACAAGCCACGGGGTTTGTGGATGATCTATCCTACTTCGAAGTAGGATCATTCAAAAGCTTTCTGGCTACAATGTGAATACCTAACAGCCACGCATTTTGCTATACTCAGCATTCTCATGTTAGGTATCGAATACCATCGGCTTCTGAAAATATGCTATGGCTCTGACCACAGTGCATTAATCAAAGCCTTAGCATTGCGAGTGCGCGTCATGTGGATATATACATAAACGTTATGGCACCTGACTGGCGTCGTTGACTGCCTGTAAAGCGCCCGCATCTCTTGGCTTCAGTCAGAGCGAGCCAGGGCACACCAGACGCTACGCGGCGTCCTTCCCGTCGCGATCTGGCCTCTCGCGCTCCCACCGGACGACGCCGGGCGCTACTCACGCTGCAGAACTGGATGCCGCGCACGGAGTTGCCGTACATGTCGAGCGGCGGCGACCACAAGCATATGCCCATGACGTTCGGCACCACCAGCATCATACCACCGGAGACGCCCGACTTGGCCGGCAGACCCACCTGGCGGCCGACGGCGACACTACGTCAGCACAGGCCCGGCGGACGATGGCGATGCAGAGCCATGTCAGATGGGGACGGCTGCGCTACAATATCCAATGCGTTTGCGCAGTCACAGTATTGTTGGCTACAAGCGAGACTTAATCGACGTTTCGAGGCATGCGGGGAAGCGGCAGGTCATGGACGAAAAATGTAGCAGTGCGGAGAGGGGGGGGGGGGGCGGGAATATATATTTCATCTGTGTTTTAGTATGTCAATTACCACATACATAGACATGAGCGTAGTGGCACCCACTTAAAAACACGGCCACATATTTATAAAAAGCGTAGGATCATCCCATCGCTTACATCTACAGCTTAGCACACCGAGCTACCCTTACTCGCGTTTAAAACGGGAAGACACCATGGTGACATTCTGACTTGTGAACAGACCGTCGAAACCCACCGGACACGCCCCGGGGTACGCTGTCCTCCCCTCAGCCCGTCCGCCCACAGCGATGCTTCCCACCGGAGCCTGTCCGGACCACAGTGGTACCTTCCGCCGGAGCCTGCCCGGACCACAGCGGTACCTCCCGCCGGAGCCCGTCCGGACCACCGCGGTACCTCCCGCCGGAGCCCGTCCGGACCACAACGGTACCTCCCGCCAGGGCCCGTCCGGACCACCGCGGTACCTTCGCTCGTGGACCCGTCCGAACCGAACGGTACCTTCCACCGGGGCGGTAATGACGGCTGAGGCGCACATCCAGGGGAACGGAAGTCATTTTTGTATTGCGGGAGTATTGATCAAACATCGATTCAGAGGCGATGGAAGGCCTCCCAAGTTGGGAAGGGAGGGAGAGGTGAGAACCAGTTTGATCATTTATTTCCAGCCAAAGGTATATCACCATAGCAGCCAAAGCCATGAGATCAATATTAATCGAATTAAAATTGAGGAGGGGGGGGGGGGGGCGGGGACTCAGACACCGCTGTCCTTTCATCCATCAGCACGCGCCCACGCGCGTGCCCTGGCCAGGAGCCGGCCCGGACCCGAGCAGTGACGGCTCCTCCGCCGGCCGGTGACGGCACTCACGTTGAAGGCGAACTGTCCGCTGTAGTCGTACATGCCGCAGCTGTGCATGAGACTGAGCACGTCGCGCACCGAGTCGGTGGACATGACCTTCTCCTCAGAGGTCGGGCAGATGCCGCCGTTGGCCAGCGTCGCCGCCACCACCGACATGGCGTCGCACGTCGTCTCCATCGAGCAGCACTGGAGCAGCACGGTGAACCAGTGAACATCAAATACCGTAGCGGCACGGTAAGGTAGCACGCTCGACGTTGTTGTGGGGCACTAAAAGCGGCAGAATGGGGACGTATCACAGGATCGATGCAAACTGCAGGACATGCGTGGAGGGCATGCATGAGGGCTGAAGCAGTCTGCGCGGACGCGATATCAGTAACGTATACGAAATAGTCACATATTCTTGCATCCATTTCCTTGCACGTACGCTCCAAGGTGAAGCCATCAACCCGTTCAGTATCGTTAACACAATGAGTTACTGCCGAAACCGCGTATGCAGTAACTGTTGCCATACATGCTAGTCCAGTCGCATTCACAGACCAAATCAATACCGGCACGACCCACGGAGCCCTCAAGCCGGTGCTCACAGCACGAGACGCGCCATTTCCCCTCCCCCGTGCGCTGTTCAATGGGGCGCGCCATTCCCTGTCGCGCGGCGAGGCCGCGCGGCCGGCCGGCGCGCCGGCGCGTGGCGCGCGCTCCTCCGGCATGCCTGGCGCTCGTTCGTCCGGTGCCGGCGCCAGCGCCGCCGCGCTGGCAGCCGGCCGGCGCCGCTGACGACGCGAGCGACGCGGCCATGGGGGGGGGGGGGGCGTGCACGGTCGTGCCGTCCGCGGCGTGCAGGCCGCCATCCGCAGCGCGCAGACGGAAATAGACGGCCGCGGCGGGTGTGAAGGTCGGCCCCGGGGGGCGCCGCCGGCCGCCGCCAGTTCGGGTGATGTGTCCACTCTTTCGTGCTACCGGGGGCGCGGTGACGACTCCGGCTGGCGCGCCGCGGCGAGGAAGCGTTTTGTTGCACCATTGGCATAGCTTGCCTCACCGAATGAAGTCATTGATTCGGATATGGCCGACGGTTTAATTAATTTCACTTCACTGGAGGCCAGTAGGCTCAGGCACCTACTTGGAAGTAGAAGTCCATAACTTCGCGAAGATTGGACTTGGCTGGAAAGCACTTGTTCTCGCGCATGTAGAAGCCGAGGGCGTAGTTGCGATCGGCTGCCTCGCGCTCCGACAGGAACACGGCATTGTTGAAGCCGACGTATTCGTCGCCGGCCAGACGCTGCCAATCAGAAACGGACACGTGTCGGCGGCGACGTGGGTATGATCTTAAAGCAAGCACACCGGAGACTGGTGATCAAAGGTGATGATAGCTTGTTTCACTTGGCAGAGACCGCGGAATGAAATAAAGAAATATTGCTCCACCTACGTTAAGTCAGGCAACACGGTGTGTGGGTCGCTTGGCAATACGCCAATGAGTGCTGGCTGATCAATCTGAAAATGACTTCGAGGAGTGCTTGGGACATCGTTTAGCACAGGTGGAATAATTATTCAGATTATTGCCTCCGTAAATGATTTTACGAGATTAGTTAGCAAGAAGTTGTCATAATCACAGTCAATCTCCGACAACGTAACTTCCACATAGCAGAACAATGACACAAAATAGATTCAGAACATCCGTGAACGCTGCATTAGAAGTCTCCAAAAACGATACAATACGACAGCAAACTCAAAATAGAAATCTCCTTAAAAGCGAGCCGTAATCACAAGCGACATCCCCAATACCGATGTTGTGGAAGTCCACACGAAGGCAACACAGGTCGGCCATTCTCAGTCAGACAACGGCACCACAGGAAAGCAGACTCCCGGTTACAAATAAAAAACTCCAACACTGCAGGACATGTGTGGTCGGACAGCGAACATTAGCTGACATGGGACAAGCTAATCAACGTCGACAGAGAGCCGCGCTGGGAAGTGCGAAGGATGAAGGGAGTGGCCCTAATGGGACTAGCTCCAAACCTCTTCAGACAGCCAAGTGCGGGCATTAGCCTGCACTACAAATGTTTCACAGAAGTCCTAGAGACAAATAGAACTTCTAGCGCGCCACTGGCCGTCCATCTCGATAGTACAGACTGAAGGATGTGTGCCGAGATCGTGAAGCGCAGTGCACCATCGACAGTACACAGCGTCGGTCAGCTGGCCGAAGGTTCGATGCGACCCGCAGCTGTCGGGAACTTCCAGGCTGTGACAAATGCATGGCAACGTGTCACATATCTCCAGGTCCTTCTCAGGATCAGTTTACACCTGACGGCGGCCAGATCAGAAACCGTTGTGAAAAAACAGCAACGCCAGCAACGCGAGGGCGTTTGTTCGCATAATTATTCCGTGTGCGTTTTCAGACGGTGTGAAGTTGCGACCAAGTCTGATCCATGCATCGCTGCATCTATAGCAGGTGGATACGACTACAATTAACACGCGCCCGGGCGACCAGTCAAACACCCTTCACTCGGGTGGGCGGTCAGTTTGATCCCCGCCCCCCTCCCCCCTGAGATCTCCCAAACTAAGACAGCTAGAGACACCAAACTCACAGGGCGTGTTGGTTTGTATGAGAACTCACTTGGATCAAAGTTTGTGGTTCCTAGGTGATGACTTTTGGGTCAAATAGGGCCAGACACAGTCAAAAGCGACCTTGTTTAAACTTTCGAAGGTTACGGTGACCAAAATCATACAAGACTGCTTTGAGTTTTGCATCTGAATGAGCGACAAACATTCCGTTAGGCCGCATCTCCCTAAACCAAAGTGTCGACCTGGGTCATTTTAGGTCAGTGACCTATTTTGACCTCTAGGACGTCCATGGAAGATGTACATGCGGCTCCCGTTATCAATAAATTCGAAATGAGCACCAGAAACTGCCCCATACAACAGACCCCAGAATAATGAAGCAGGTTGGTTTTGGCCTTGGTCTGACCCTCATGCCTGACTCCAGGTCAATGGAATTTGTTCCTCCTAGTTGTGTTGTCTAAGAAAGCACCTCAGTGATCTATGGCTTCGTAACACTTGCATTGAACACATTCGTAACACTTGCATCAGATTGAACGATTTCCTGGAAATTGACTTCGCTGAATCCATGGCCTGACTTTGACCTGCCGTAGGTCAGTCACCTTACGAGAACACCTATATTTTTGACAGCACACGATCTGCTATTCAATTTTCTACAGCCATGCAAAATTTGGCGTGGCTACGCCGCGTCGTTGGGAAAACATTCCGGAAAAAAACTCGGGGGGGGGGGGGGTAACTGACCCCCAGCGCACAATACAGCCAACAACCGTACTTTGATCATAAACGTTTGACCAAACCATTCCCAGCCAAAACTTCACGGGGTGTGCTCCCGACTTTCTGATTACCACAATATATGCTTGCATTTCTTCAATCCCGAGGTCAGTGACGAACTTCCGAGATCCAGGTGTCCCGATAATCCAAATACTTTAGCATGTCACTACCCATGTCCCGTGACAAAGCACCGCGATCCCTGTGACGGGAAAGCACAGCCCCACGCCCCTCGTCTGACTCCGCCACCAACGGGCGCGCCGCGCTGACCCAGCCACGTCGCCTCGGAGCGCACGGCCGGCCGCTGGGCAAGGGCAGGGGGCGGCGTAACGGGCGGCACGCCTCGCTCTTACGCCAGTCACGACCGCCATCGGCCGAGAACGGGGAGGCAAAAGACTTCGACCGCATACAGGACGGCACGCCACGGCGCCCGGCCCGCACGGCTGTGCTCCCCAGCATCGGCCAGCAGGGAGTGACAGATACGAGTGCAGGAGGTGCAGGATCGCAACGCCGCGGCGCTGGCTGCCGGTAATGGCTGGGCGTGGGCGGCACTGGGGCCGTGTTTGGGTCGCCGTAACTCACACAGCCGCTCGACACATGCATTGCGATGCTGACATGCATCGAATACAAAACAAAATTGACTGATAATTTACCCTAATTCAATAATTCCCTGGCTCAGCAGAGCCACGTCGGCTGTTGCCCGATGGCCAAATGTTTAGTCTGGTGTTAGTGACGTTTTTTAAAGGAAAAGCGTTCCGTTCTTTTTTAATTTCTTATTGTGATGCTCGCCGTACATAAGATACCGAATTCCGCGCTGCATTGAGTGCTAACGTTCAAAGCATCATTCGGGTGCGCCAGAAGTAAGAATTTTCCAGAAAGCCTAGAAATGAATGGCAATAGAACAATACACATGTCTAGTTTATGTTAATATCCCGTACATCCGATAATTTCTGCCCTACCCGGGCTTTGCGTCCAGACCTCCACGACCAGTTTGGACACCACTCGTATGCTTGCTAACACATACATCCAATCGCTCGCTCCGAATGTGGTGATGACATTATCGCGTTTGTCTAAGACATCCAACCCGATTTCCGTTCACTTATCTCTCGCACCGTGCGCACGTCCTTTTATCAGCGTTCAGCTCCACGAACATCAGTTCACTCCATGGCTTTCACCTCTACCTCCAGGCCACGAACACCAGTCCACCGCAGCTCCCCGTGCCCCGGTTGACATCAGCCTCCTCCTCGTCCAGCTGCAGCTCCCCGTGCCCCGCCCTCCAGCTCCAGCCGCAGCTCCCGTGGCCCTCCCTCCAGCTGCAGCTCCAGCTCCAGCTGCAGCTTCTCGTGCTCCAGCCTCTAGCTCCAGCTCTAGCTCCCGTGCTCCTTTCCCCAGCTCTCGTGCCCGGCCTTTAGCCCCAGCCCCAGCCCCAGCCCCAGCCCCAGCCCCAGCCCCAGCTCCAGCTCCCGTGCTCCTCCCCCAGCTCCAGCTCCTCGTGCCCCGCCCTCCCAGTTCCCCGCGCCCACCCACCCCCAGCTCCAGCTCCCGTGCCCCGCCTCCCAGCTCCAGCTCCAGCTCCCGTGCCCCGCCTCCCAGCTCCAGCTGCAGCTCCCGTGCCCCGGCCGCCCCCGCGCGACGCGGCGTCCCCAGCCCGGTGAGCGGCGCCTCGATCGATCGGCACCGGCGGCCGCCGCCGGCCGGTGCTCACCAGCGGTCAGCGCGGCTGGTCTGCCACGACAGCACGACCCCGGCGTCGGACTACCCCGGCGACGCGGCGCCGCTCAGGGGTGGACACTGTACACAGAAGACATGGACGTCCCACCGCTCACGTGGTGAAACACACCCTGGGGCGCGGGAGGGATTATGGCCCGTACTGTGGGATGTGGGGTGGGTGCAGCAGGGAGCCATGCTCTGTGGAAAATGGACGTTTGATGTAGGGATCACATGAGAGTGAGGTTCATATGATCCTTCGGACATCCACCGGAAGTGAAAGATCTCCACAAGCAACCGTACTCGTCACCGTCGGAGTGGCATCAAATGTAACTGCGTTACCAGTATCAATTTGGTTCGCTATGTTGCCATGGGGATGCCGGGAACACTGCACCTATTGCACGATAGCCAATAATCGATGCGATCCGTGGAGCAATGAGTACCGCCTAGATAAACCGAGTAATCATGCCATGAATAACCCGGGACACCCAGCCAGCCAGGCGCCCGACTGATCGACATCTGGGGGACACGTGGCCACTAAACCAACCACGGCCTGCATCGAACGGCCGCCCGTCTGGGACTTATGGCGCATCGTGCCGTGCCGGCTGTCCGGTTACGAGACGCCTATCCTCGGGCGTCCGCCCTAATGGACGGCGCATTTAATAGGTGCGGTCGAGTATGGTCCGTTTGACAGTTTGGCTATCGGGATGTTGGAGGGTACGAGGTGATACTTGACATCGGCACGCGAGTCTTTATCGGTACTCGTTCTGAGGGTTCACGACTTTAAATATACCGGGTGGTAAACTGGATGAGGAAATATGTTCCACCAATCATTGGAGTACATCACGAAATCGATTGACTTTTCAGCAACATCCACGCGAGTGGATGTAGTCATGCACCCTGGTATCCACGACGATGAGCACTACCGACCACGTGGCGTACTTTTGTAGCATGTCCCAATGACTGCTTGGTGACTTGAACCAGTGTCTCTCGGTACACCGAAGACGGTTATTTTCGACGCAAATACCACAACGGTGAGAATAAGGTTCCCAGAGCACGAAACCGCCTCGCGTTAATTCGAACAGCTTTCATGAGCACCGTTCATCCTCGAGCTGAACACTGAAACGGATTATTTTCAAACAAAGCTGCGCGTGAGCATACACACATAGCACATACGCAGCCGCCTCCGCACAGCAAAAACAAACAACTAAAACAGAACGACACCACCGCCAAGCGCCGAAATCGGCCGCCCCACCTCGTCCCAGCGCGGCGACCACCCCACTCACCGAGAAGTACTGTTTGACGTGGTCGAACCGTTCGGCCAGGTTCATGTCCTTGTGGGCCAGCGTCTGTAACAGCGAGCAGACGATGATGGCGCCGGCGTTGATCATGGGGTTGTGCGGCTTCTTGTTGTGGTCGAGCACCAGCTCGTTGAACATGCGACCGCTGGGCTCCTGGCCGACGTACTGGTGCACCAGCTCCTGGCCCAGCTCGTCCAGCACCAGACCGTACGTCAGCGGCTTGCTGACGGCACAGACGACGCGGCAGCGGGGTCAGTGGCGCTGGGGTGGCGGGCGGCGCACTGACCAGCATCAACGAGCGCTACGGCTCGCGCAGCGGCGCCGCCGGAACACCGTGTTGCTGGGGTTATGTTCGGCAGCTGTCAAGCCCGACGAGGAACAGAAGCCACGTAGCCGGACGGCTTAGCGGCCAGCACTGACAAAGCCCCGAAATGGGCAATGCTGAAATATTTATTGCGCACTTACTAATGCGTGAAGATCCATGGCCATGTCAGTCAACCACAAACAAGGTGCAGAGGGCAGTGAGTACAACGGCAATAAATCACCAACTGCACTGGAGCACGATGGTCTGTGTGAGTAACCGCACACTGCACAAATGACAACAGCTTGTTTGCGGGTTTGGCAGAGCCCCAGGCATAGAATGAACTGGACAGCGAGCCCCCGCGCAGGTGACAGCAGCCCGTATAGCTGTAGGCGACTGTTCCTGAAACTGACAATGACCCACCCAGAACTGACAAAACTGACACCTGAAACTGACAGTAACCCACCCAACCGACTGGGCCACACAGCGCCACACGGGCTCGGGTCGGCAGCGGGGACGCCATCAATTTGCCGCAGGCAGCGGCCAGTGGCAGGCACTACGTGCGACAGCGGCGGCCAGAGAGGGCGGCGCCCCACCTGATGGACTGGACGGTGAAGGGCACGGCCACGTCCCCGATGCAGTAGCGCTGGCCGTCCACCGTGCACACGGACACGCCCCAGTAGTTGGGCTCGACGCGGGCCAGCTGCGGGATGTAGGAGGCCACCTGGTGGCGGGCGGCACGCGGTCAGGGGCCGGCACGGCACGGCACGGTACGGCATGGAACAGCACGACACGGCACGGCACGACACGACACGACACGACACGACACGGCACGGCACGGCACAGCATGGCACGGCACGGCACGGCATGGCACGGCACGGCACGGCACGGCACGGCACGGCACGGCACGGCATAGCATAACACGGCGGGACACGCCAGTACACATAGCGGAGTCAAGGGGCGTCGACGCATGAGATCGGGAAAAGAGTTTGCTGGGGGATATAATTCTCTAATCACGTATGCTAAGAAGGATATAATTCACATTCACAGTTACGTAAGTTATTCAGTGCATTGGCGAGGGACATTATTCACATAGATAAGACAGTAGTATTGACCTTATTCCTCGGAGAAAAACCAGGAGAATGGAGACATAGTTGGGTTGATATTTCGGCAACACGCCTTTATCGAAACACTGTTTCGATAAAGCCTTTAAAGCCTTTGAAGCCTCGAAACAACATGCCTTTATCGAAACACCGTTTCGATACAGGCATATTGCCGAAATATCAACCCAACTATGTCTCAATTCTGCTGGTTTTTCTCCGAGGAATAAGGCTAATACTAATGTCTCATCAGTTAACGTTCTCATGTAATTCAATAATCCACACAGTGCGTCGACGACTAAGCAAATATGGTGGGTCTACCCTACCCAGCCCTTTGTATCAACGTCAGAGCCTGCCCTGTGCATCACGTATGGTGGAAGGGCAACCTACGGCCCGGAAATCAGGGTCCGGACAGCCGGTATGCGCGGCGAGCAGCTGCAGGTAGAACGACTCATCAGACCAGGACTACCAGTCGTTGCTTCACCCATCACCAGACTATCCGACAGGCGTGGAGCCAAACTAACAGGCATAACTGACGGCGATACCGCGCATCAGTTCACTGTTGTGTGAGAACAAGTGTGTGCCCCGGCCTGTCAGCGGTAGATTACACATTGCTCTTAAAGCCTCAAACCCGAATACTTTAATAAGGTGAATTTCTGTGATCAGCGTCCCCGATAAGCAGTGCTTTTTGTGTGAGCCCTGGTCCAGCCACCCAGTTGGGAAATCCCGGGTCGGCGTCAGAATGTTGCGGCGAAGGTCGACGAACCATAATGCTCGACACAGTTCATCCTGCCCTCTGACATCACCTGGCCTTAAGCTAGGCCGCTGACACTCACTATAGCCCATCCTAGTCAGGGGTCAATGAAGAGTGCCCAAAGCGGCTCCAGCACCACGTATGGGTAAATCCAAAAGCGGACACTCCAGCTGAGCTGCCGGAAAGATGAGAACTTTTGGAGGGTAAGGAAGGATTATTTTCGAAAAAGCTTAAATACTTGCTCGTAAACTCACGGCTACCAGACCGATTTTGTGCTTGCTTTTAAGATAAACTCTGTGTCTGATTTGGAAAACACGGTCTTCATGACGACGTCTGCCCTGCAATGATTAACAAAACATGAACTGATCAAAAATGACGCGAAATCTAGCCTTCCAATGCTTATATAATAAAAATCTACCTTTTCTTGCACAACCCAACGTTGCGACTAAGAGGCAGCATCACGCCAAGCCACGCCACACTACGTCACGTCACGTCACGTCACGTCACGCAACGTCACGTCACGTCACGTCACGTCACGCCACGTGACGACACGTCGCGTCGTGTCAAGACAGAATACATGACGTCACGTCAGGCCACGACAGCACCGCACCATATCACGCCAGACCACATCAGACAGGGGCAGCTCCACATCACATCAAGTCACGGCAGCTCATCGCATGACATCAGTGCACTGTACTCTGGTGCCCAGCGCATAGCGTCCGTTGGAGCGTCAGCCCCTCGGGTACACGGCTACTCGAGCTGTCGTTCAGCCGGTCTCTCGGGTCCTCAAAACGAAGTAGCATCGAAACTATTCTCGGCCTCCGCTCGCGTCAGAGACTTTGCGAAAATAGTGTCTTGCTCAACCCGGCCTACAAAGGGCACCCACCACCGTTAATCCCTCCGTCTCTCAGCCAGAGTTTCGTAATTCAAGGGACGTAGCCGTAGTCCCCGCCAGAGAGGATCCAGATGCGCGCTGCATTTAGAAGCGTCTCCGTAGTGGCGCGGAACCTCTGGAGCCAACGGAAAATCCCAATAAGCCGGTAGATTTTCGGTATCAGAAACGTTCGCTCGGACTGGGGCTTAGGTGGCCCGGACATATCTGTGTTTCAATGTGATTCACAAAGGCAGCGTAGACGCCTACGCAGACGCAGATCGACTCAACACTCCGAGGACAAGTGCGAGACGAACTTGGATTGGGTTGACTCTAGAGCGACGCGGTCCGAACGTTATCCCGCACAGCACCACCAACAATCGTTAAAACAGACCCACCAGGTTCAGACTGACTGGGGAGCCAGCGCGCTTCGACACTCGTGCCACACGTAATGGGTCGTTGCTCTGTCAGCTCAGGCTCATACACATACCTTGGCAAGGTGAGTCGCAAGGTCTCAGACAAGCATGCAAACAAACAAACATGTGAAAACACTGGAAATTATCTGATGGCTGTGATAGGTACAAGGGTAATTCGGCCAATAGCCACCAACATCACGACCATACGACATAACCGGACATGGAATGAAGTGTAGGTAATTAATCCGAATTAAACATCAATACTGAGCAATACCAGCATTGCGACCATGCAATTCACTGTTCGTGCCACACCTATTCCAAACTAAAAGACTTGCACTCTATAACAATAGAAACAAAACACAAACGCCATGACAGAAACACATCGTACTGCTAATGAGCTCTGCTGACGACGTGTTTTTCATGGGGTGATATCGTCGACGACGTAACAAAACGTTAAAGACTGTAAACAGGATGTCGCGCGAGAACGTGCACCGGTTGGCGCGCGTGCAACCAAGGCGCCGACGAACCACCGGTTGGCCGCCACTGGTTATCTAGCAGGTACCAGACACCGCTCCCCGTTCGCGGTCCACGTGCCGAGCGTCGCCTCAGAGGGCCGACACTCAGTCCCACTTATCCATCTGCCACGCGTCCGGACCGGACGTCGAAGCTCTCACTCACTCACCTCGCCGTCCTACAGCCGGCAGCCGGGGCACACAGAGGGACGTCAGCCACGCCGCACTGAACGCGCGCCGCGTGGCCCCTTCTCCGAACAACCCCACACCCACCCACATGTGTGTCGGTCCAAGAGGGGACAATGGGCGCGGCCGACCCCGCTACGTCCAAAATACCCCCGCAGCACAGGGGCCAAACGACACGCCACCGCGCCATCGTTCTCCCTGTGCGCGGCCGTGCAGAGCCACCACGGACTTCCGTTACGGCGGAGCATTTGCCCGCGGATAAGGAAGATTACAGCGTGCACAGCTGTTGAGTGCTAATATAACACCCTGACCAAAGACATCCCTCAAATAGCGGTGGTAGCGACATGGGAGAAGGACGCGCCACATATGGTGAGAACAGCGTACTGGTCAGGCAAAAGCACGGAACCATCGGAGCGCAGGCAGATGGCATGGTGGGGCGCGGTGTGGTGGCACGAGACAAGTGACGTCCAGACGCCTGTCGGAGCGGCGGCTGGTGAGCGGGACTGTCGGGCCGACGGGGCGGCGGCCGCGGCCGACAGCTCACCTTGCCGCCGGGCGACGTCTTGCAGTGCCAGTAGATGGCCTCCACGTCGCGGCAGAAGTTGGTGAAGTCGGGGATGACGAAGCGCTGCCGCATGGCGCGCGAGATCACGTGAATGTTGCCCGTCACCAGCCTACGACAGAACGGACGCCGATCAGGCTGGGCGGCGGCCGCGAGGGCTGCGGAGCCGGCAAGAGCGTGACCACGACGGGCCAGGGCGGGTCAGCCGTCAACACGGACGCACCAGGCGGCCGGGTGAGACGCAGAGGACTGCGCAGCGCGCCGCTCACCGTCTGAACGTGGGCAGATCGAGCACCTGGCTCTCCGGGCTGTGCACGTCGGGCAGGTTCTCCCGCTCCAGGAACACCTTGTGCAGGCTGTCGTTCATCTCCTGCAGGCGGCGGTCGTTCTTGCGCAGCCCGGTCTCCCGCAGGGCCTGCAGCACGCCGCCAGTCACACCTCCGCCGGGGGGGGGGGGGGGGGGGGGCGAGCGGGCCGGGGGCGCCGGCGCAGCGCGACGCGCCGGTCGCATTGTGATGTGGATAGCGCTCTCTCTGCAGCGGCGCTCCAGCAACACACAGCCGGTGCCCAGCGCGGAGAGACTATAGCTTTGAAACACGGAGTGTGTTCATTAATGAGCATTCCCTAGGATAATGAGCCAGCGAGCGGGCAATTGGGCGCAGTCCAATAGTTTCAGGGTCAATTTAGACACGCAAGAATGGAAAACAATGCTGCTACTCTAGCACGACACTCACGGCCAGAAATTTGCCGATCTGAATCGTCTTGCCGTCCTTAGAGAACATGTAGAATATGTTGTCCTCCAGCATATCGTAGGCCTCGCGCTGTTCTGCGGGACTGGAACAGGTCGACACAAGCGTCACCACAACCAACGAGGTGACCGCCCCGTCCGTGCATCACGCGCCCGCCTACTCGTTGATGGCCAGCAGCAGCCATTACCACGGCGATCAGGACAGCGATATGGGGCAGTAAGGGCATACCGCGATATCTGTCAGTGCATCGAAAGGAACCCAGCACGACATGCAATTAGTTATGTAATACGAATACCAAATAATGAGCAGTTGCGCGCCCCCGTATGCACCTGCCGTCATATGCGGCCGGTTGTAAGCAAACGCGCAGCCCGAGCGACGCGTGCCACATCGTGTGTTACGCATGAAAAAACACGACGGTGTGGACTGTGGGCGTCACTGCATGCTTACGGGTTGGATGGGGTGGCGGCTGAGGCCGAAATGTTTATTTGAGTCCACTCAATGCCCTTCTGAGCTCCCTCCCAACGCATATGAGCGAAACAGGGTATACTGGGGGCCTTTAAATGCGAGTGTCTGGACTGCTGGCACGTTAGATACCTAAATGTGTCACTTTCAATATCATCATCACATACCATCATCATCACTATCATAGAAGCTTCAGAAAGGAAGTCAGTCCTCAGCATTAAAACGATTTCGGAAGTGACCAAAATTAATTTTGACATCAGGAGTGCTCATCAAGGTGACTGAAATCCGGAGAGAAACAATGACTAGGGAGAGACTTAAACTGTACTGACTCAGCTTCCCTCCGCGACCTATTTTAGAAAGTGACACCTCTGGTGCGGACAGCTTTGGGTACTGGCATCGAGAAGGACACATAGCAAGGCAGCCAGCAGTTTATGCATCACTAACATCACTTACGAAATCACGCCGGAAAAGCGAGATCACATACAAAACTGCTTACATCTGTTTAAGTCCGTTTTCGTGCGGTGTTAACCCAGCAGCTAACACCAATCACCAACACGAATACAAACGTTTGGTACTTTGCACCTAACGTTTATTTAGCTACCTTTTGTTGATGATTTCATCGTCAATCTCGTCGGCGGGGGCAAATACTTGGTTCTTCCACGAGCCCTGGGGCTTATCCTGAAACGAAACCAACGTCAAATCAATACAGGCGGTTGGTCGGTCCCGAGGAACGGGAGGATGTTGCTGAGTCCCGCCCCCACACCGCATTGTAAGAGGAGGACGCTGGTCCTCTCACGCAGGACGCGAGTGTATCCACTGACGTCAACGCCATGGAAACCCTGGAAGGACCACAGACGACGTTACACTTTTCCCTGGAGGCAGATGGCGGTATCTTTTGACTGATATCAACTTAACCCACGAGCATGTAAAGTCACGTACTTAACAAAAACGTAGTTCTAACCACATCGCTTCACCCGACCGGAGAAGTCGACCGCACGACACCGCAAGACGACGGAAGTAACAACCGTAGATCACGAACAGAGAACTTTGAGTTTTTGTGTAATACATTAGGTCTGGAATCAGCAACGAGGTCAGTCTTGTGCTGTGGAAGGTGGTACGACAATGAGGGCCGGCAAGGGTGGAGGCATTCTGAGCCCTTTATTATGGCTTGGTTATCGAACAACGTTCTTCCACGCCCGATTCGGCCACTATATGAATTATGATCAACTTTGGCTGAATGTGCAGGTGTCTTGTGGTTAAACATACGTAAGGTCAAATACGAACATTTTGTTTCCGCCTCGCCTCGCCTCGCCTCTCCGCGCCGCGCTGCGCCGCCCAACCCCGCCCCACCCCGCCCAAACCTCGCCCCGCCCCGCCCCGCCTCCTACCCCGTCTGCCCCGCCGTTCCTGCTAGAGTGAGAGGCAGGCGACGTCATATAGCCTAAACACCTGACGGCTACGAACATGTGGTTTTACTGCTGACTCGACCCAGTGCCATGACATTAATGACCAGGCGCCAAAAGACTTCGGGTGATACGGTTACGATGCTATTTCATCAGTCATCATCACAATGTACCAGGAATTACTGCGAGTACAAATGAGAAATGAGTCTGACACAGGGCACTTCTTACATGTTTGCCAAGTGCATTCCACAGCATCACGTTTCGCGTCCTATTACTTACATTTACATCATGTGGCATATTTCCAGGATTTAACTGCACAGAGAGCTTCATAGAACTGTGTGGTGCATCACCGCGGAACGAATTTCCCGGTCGCATGCACGCTTGTTTACCAGAGTTTCAGCCTATGTTCAATAGCCCCGGATTCTATGTTGCCGCATCAGTGGTCAAGTGTGATCATTGCCTATCACGTTTGCCCTATCCGATGGAGCGTGAGGTGCAATGGGTGCAGCCTAAAAAGTACATTACCACCCAGACACAAACCCATCAGCACGACCGGTGGTTTCAATGGCTAGACAGTGTTCCCATCTGCGGTAATTCACCCTCCCGCGGAGACCGCCGTGGCAGTTAATGACGCAATGCTGGGAACTTTTGTAATCGAATTACAAGTTTACCTAGTCCAGTGCATGCAATGCTTCTTTATCGCTATCACGACGATACGATTCGCTTGCCGGCGAACTCCTTGCTTCTGATATTGCGCAATCCCAAGCAGAACGTTCTGCGGCTCGGCCGGGCGGTGACAGGAGATATCTATACTGGGACTCACCGATCGCATGATGTTAAAACCATACGTTTGACGCATGACTTAATTGCGAGTACGGGTCGATTAAGACCGAAGAACACCGATAAGGAAACAAGAGCAATTACTTGCGGCAAACGAGCAACGACAAACCATGCACTTCTTCCGTGCTCACGCCTTTTTCTGTGATAAAAGTATGTCAGTTATAAAAAAAACGATCCACAAGCGATGCGACGCCCGGTTTAGCAGTCCCCAGTGCCCCCAGTTCAGGTCTGGTGACCGATCTCCGCCTGTCACTGCGGCAGTTATCTCCCTGTCAGCCGGTGCGCGCCACCGGTGGCCGGCGCCAAGTGAGCCCGGACGGCCGGGGAGCCGCGCAGCTGTGGCGCAGGCACGGCCGGACCGGCCGGCCGCCACGCCCGGCACCGGCCTGACCGCGCAGCGCGGCGCCGGCCGCCCCGCCAGACGGGATGGGTGAGGCCTCCGGCCCGGGAGGGCGGCGGCCGCACCGACACCAGCACCGATAGCGAGGCGCGGGTGCAGACGAAATCCCTCGAATATCTGCCACGCCCTGGGGTGATCTGGAGTCTGACACACATTTGTTTGTTCTCGTATAACTAGAATAAGACGACGGTACCCAAACACGCAACACTAAACGCACCATGTAAGGGCGGTATGCCTCCATTTGTCGAAATTTTGCCAAGTGATCCTCCCATAAGGCTAGGTAAGTTCTTCGCCACTCCCCCCCCCCCCCCCCCTCCCGTCACAACGGACATTAAACCGAATCGCCCACCGCACAACTTGCGACGTAGCGTCAGCACGTTCTAAGCCAAGCGGGGGTTTTCGAATGGGACAGGTGACAATCAAGGCTATTGGAATTTATTTCGTAATTTATGTAATCGACATCGCAATGTAATATCCACGGGCGTAGCAAATGTTTTCTTGGGGAAGGGAGGGAAGGAGACAAAATCGAGTAAGAATGCATAACGGCAACTTTTTACTTTTTATCAGAAGCCATCTATGCTAAAAAAGAAAAAGGCAGGCTTCCCCACCTGCTTGGCTGCCCCCCTGATAGAAATGCGTTTTTCAAGAGTCGATGCCAACAAGCAGTTACAACATTGTTTAACAAATGCTTGCCTCATCCGATCCCGGAAAATGTAACAATGTACATCTTTTATGCCGAAAAATTCAATTCCCAGCACATCTGTCAGCCTCCCTTCATTCGTTTGGTCAACAAAATGGCCGTTCACAGCTAGTTTATAACACAATCCCCGAATTAGCAGCTCACAGGGTTTCTACCATCGCATTTTTACGCACGCGCTAAAAAACTGCATCGTAAATGTTCATCGCTTTGCACTTCAAAACATTCAGGAAGCTCCCCAGCAAGTTGGATTGACACTGATAAGATTGGTCAGATTTCTCCGCGCATCTTTCAGGAATTTCTGGCAGAAATTTCCCTAAAAGTTAACGGTCAGAAGCTTTTCTTAGGAAGCCTTCAAAGAGACGCCCTTATATGTAGTCAATATCGACAAGTAAAATCTTCCGATTAATCCCGTCCTTTCAGAGAATCTCCCGGATTCACCTGACTTACGCACTCAGCATATAACTATGCATGTCACTATCGCACCCAATAATAATGAGCGCGGGACGATGAGAACGGGATCTTTGAGCAAACGCGTGGGCTTTTGCAGGTACCAGTGACACCCAGCAATTAAGTGTAGTTGAATATGCCTGTGATGATATGTAGATCAGAAGAACGCTCAGCGACTTACGGTCGAATCTCACCATTTGGAGATTAAACACTGCAAATGATGGTGAACGCCACCAACGAACGGTATCAAATCAGAAGCACTTTCTGTCAAGCGTTAGATCGATGAGTGCGAAACATGGCTGAAAAAGACAAACTGCACGTCAAGTATGGAACGGAGGAGAGGCCTTCATCAGTAATGTTACCATTCCAGTACACTATTATCTATGTAACGCGGCTAACACTTCTATGCCCGATTTTATGTGACCGCACACGCCATCTAGGAGAAATAACGGATGCGAAAAAACCACATGAGAACAAACCGAATGAATGCTGGCGACACATGAGGGAAGAGGCAGAGGAGCGTCCTCTACGGCGACTTACATTGACGTCTGAGAGACTGTGGCACCTCCTGGCGTGGCGGAGTGGAGGCAGCGGCGGCGGCGGCGGCGGAGGGTGGGCCGCACCGCCGGCCGCTCGGCTCGGCGTGCCGGGCGCGCTGGCGGGCAGCCGGCGTGGCCCGGCGCCGGCCGGCGACAGCGCACGGTGCTGTCGCAGCACGCGGAGGACGGCGTGCGAACGCTGCAGCATGGTGAAGTGCCACTGACTCGCGTCTCGTCGGGCACGCGCGTCGCGTCACCGCCGACGGCGCAGCGGACGGTCGGAAGTGGTGCACTCCCGGTCGGCCGGCGAACACTGGCCGCCGCGAGTCTCACCGTGCCGCGCAGTCGGTCGCGTGACGCGATCGCCCGAGGCCGAAATAGCCGAGCTCGCGTCGGGAGCGCCGCGTCAGTCCGCAGCCGGCCGCGCCGCGCGGTGCCCACCGTCTGCCGGCTGCGTCAGGGCTGCGCGTGGGCGCCGTGCCGCGCGGGTCGATGCCGCCTCAGACGGTGGGTGTGTCCAGTGACGTCATGGTGACGTCGACCCTGGATCGCCACGCGGGGACGGGCGGTGCAGTGGCGGTCAGCAGAACGACCGGAAGGCGTGGGAGTTTGATATCTCGGAGAAACCGTCTGGAAAAAGGCGTGATGTCTCAATGCTCCATAAATGTCTTCCTGCCGACGTTGGCGACATATTCTCAGTGCTGGGAAGGAAGGAGTATTCTCTTTTTATTTCACTTGCTTCCTCCCATGTCCCAAAGTGAAACCAAACAGGATGCTCCCTGACGTGGTGACTAAATGCTTGCCCGATGCCGTGCGACAAAGATCCGTACATTTTTTAGCAATCTCTAGGGCATTTGACTATCATGGGGACCAAATGGAAGCAACGACAGATTGCAGCAGTCAAAAAATCACATTACACGGAGTCGGCAGAGCGCCTTGATCTTGCGCGGCAGTCAGTCTGGTTGGGTATGGCAATGAAGCTTCGTAGACAGCAGCGACACCAATGCACGCGGATAGCAATAAAAGGGGCCGCAGTTGGGGCAGTGGATGCATCACGAAAAGGCAAGAATTGGTGGCTATTGGCTAACGCGTGAAAATGTATCGTTGTCATGAATCTTGAATCTCTCATGACCCAAGTCTTGAATGTTCGTTGTTTGCATCAACCGGAGCACAAAACCGTCGTGCGTAGCAATCGTCATATTTTGGGACACACAGCGGCTCATGTGCGAAGTGCTCCCGACAGACAACCCTCTGCATGAGTTTTGGTCCTCTGCCCATCTATCGTGACAAACTCGTCCATAGACGTAGGAGCGGGGTCCATGGATGCTATACGATGATTACCCACTTTTCAAGAATGCCGAACATCAAACCAGTGACGACGCATGAAAAGGATCGACTTAAACATTGGGTTGCATGCCCACTTTCTGAGATGTTCATTCACCTATCGAACGCCAACCACTCCACACGCGGCCCAACGTCCCGGGGTCGCTCACAGCGTGCACGGGGTTGCACAGGCTTACTGAACAAGTTTTTTGTCGTTACAGCGTCAATTTAAAGGCAACAAGTGGAGGCTGTTCAATATGACAAAACATAAGCCAAAGATGCTGAACCTGTACCAATTGAAGGTTATTTTACACATACCTGACGTCATACAATACTAGCTCTGCTTGCTGTCTTGTTTGTGAACCTTGAACGGCTTCAATCGAACAGGATGAGAGTCGGTAGTTTGCCGAGGTTATCCACGCAGACCCCGCACACACTCAGCACGGCACCCCGCGGTGTAGGGCCTCACGCTGCGGTATCGCATGGACGGGGATTCGGCAGTGAAGGTAGTACGAACGGGCATGGTTTTCCTACGCATTGTTTTCTCAAACATTAAATTATCATTAACTGAGTGGATGCCAGTTTGTATGAGGCACGCGTTAAAAGATCGCCAAGCGTTTGACTATTGTAAACATACCGATATTAGCGGCTAAACTGGGTTCCCGGTCAGGACTCCCTAATGTCTTTGAACTTCAGGTAGGTCGCTAGCCTGTTTAGAAGGAAAAGTTAATCAATTCCACTATGCCCCTTTCGATTAAAAAGGTCTAATGCCTGAGCTTGTTTCGCAAATTAAGAAGTTCATCTTGAAAGCAAGTATAAATACTTGGAATTCACTTTTTATTTAGTGTTTGTGCAGTGTTTCCCTGTTGAAATTGCTTGCCCAGCATTGATGCACATGTACAAATGTCTACCATACAGACAATGAACTTTATGTTCATACTTGTACTGGTATTTCCAAAATATAGACAGGTGACATTGGAATGTGTCCTTGCTGAAATATTAGGTGTAGGTTTACACATGCACTGCAAGTCACTCACAGGCTGCTTTATACTCACAACAGTGCTATGGGTGTCACCAGATGGCTCTTGCTGCTTTTCAGGGGTGGGGCTAATGAAAAGGGGCATGTTCTTCTGTAACAAAGAGCAAATCATGATTCCGATAAGAGGTACTTCAACCTAAAAAAATGCAGTCTACTTGTTATCATCATGTTGGTCCTTTTTATGCTGAAAAGATTGGGCCTGCAAAAATTGTGGCTTTGTTTTTCCAAGACAGTGTCAGTTTTTGTTTCCTGCAAGCAGATGTTCAACCCCATTAAATTCAGGATGACTAACTCTCCATCATGATGTGTGTTCTTGTCAGCCACAGTACTGAAATCTTCAGTGTTAATAAAAGAAATACTTCTGCCAGAAATCTGCTGTATGTAGGTTAGAATCTATGCCAAGGCCAAAGCCTTTTGCAATTATTGTATTGTATAGTAGGAGATATAGTAGGATATATATCTTATAAAGTGTATAGTATAGTAGGAGACAAGCCCTGACTAGAGCAAAATACCAAATTAATTGGAAGAGCATCCACCATCAGCCCCTCATCTAGAATATTTGTTAATGTGCAAGAGACGGTTTCTCCACATTCCTGTGAACTTGGACCGAATTCCAACAATATTGCCTGGTATCTATTGCAGATCTCATGGCTGAAGTGGGCGTGACCCTTGTGCCCCATGGCTACATCTGTACCACAAATTCTGATAAATTTGTCAAACAAATCACACTTCAGTAGATTCAATCCCTTTGGTGTATTGACCTAAAGCACTGGCAGTTGCTAGTCCATGTACTCAGACTCACTCTTCATGCAACCCATTATAGAACTAAGGTTGTGGACCAGTGTTCAAACATAGCAGGTAAGGAGGTGAGGTCCCACTGACAAGAGAAATGCTGAATAAACCAGAATACCATGCAACTCTGTTGGCTTCTTACTGAAACAGACAATATATTTATAAGCTCATTTCCAAGTATTTTAGCTTTGTATGCATGTTGTATGGTTTACAAGACCTAGACAGGTTAGAGATTGTTTGCATCTCAGGTTTAGCTAGCAATCACACCAGCAATATTAGCAGAGCATCATGTTGACTTCTTTGTGTTGCATACATGGTCTGGTATTTGCATTCAGTGTTGCTTTCAGTGTTAAGATAGCCTTTGTTTTTTTCAGATGGGCGATGGAAGTATTGATATTACAGTTCTGTTTTCCAGGGAGGCACAGAATGGAACTTAACTTGCAATTCAGCGATGATGACCTTGAACGTATCACAGCTACAGGAAGTCCAAAACATGAGGCAGGTAGCTATGTGCCAAAGCTTGAGGATGCCAGATGGTACATGAATGAGAAGCCTCTGCTCGAGACCACTGACCGACCCCCGATTGAGCTCCACCACACAGCTAGTAAACTCATCGTCGAAAACCAGCACGAGGAGGCATTGGCGATATACCAGCAGCTGCTGGTGCAACATGTGAAGAACAGCGCCGGCACGCGAGAACTGCTGGACAACTGCGTGCGCTGCCTGCTACAGCTGGGTCGGCCGGCCGAGGCGCTGCCGCTGCTGCAGCGCAGCCGACGGCTGCTGTTGAGTCGGGACCACCTGCTGGTGTGGTCGCAGCTGGCAGCCGATGTGCACGAGCGGCTGCAGCAACCCGAGCTGAGCCTGCCACTGCGCCAAGCCGCCGTGGCCGCCGACGAGCAGAGCCCGCTGGCCTGGCTGGCTTTGGCCAACACGTACCGGGCGCTGACCGAGGCCGGCCACCGCCCGGCGCGCAGCCGCCGCCTCCGGCTCATGGCGCTGCTCTGGGCCGGCGTCGCGCTCGAGGAGGCGGCGCGCGCCGCCCGCTCGTTCGTGGCCGGGGCGGCACGCCGTCGGCTGGCCGAGGTGGACGCCGAGCTGGCGCCGGTGGTGCTCGTGACGGACGAGCTACGGGCGCGGCTCCGGCTGGCGCTGACAGGCGCCGGAGCCGCAGACGACCAGGACGAGTTTGTGGACCGCGGCAGCTCCAAGTTCCACGAGAAAGTGGACGGTGTAGTGCAGTGGGACGTTTCGCTTGAGGAGTTTGAGCGGAAGTGGTTCGACCCGTTTGAAGAGGCGGTAACATTTGATAGCGTTTGATTTGATGAAAGTATCTTGTCTGACACTTCATGGTGTTGTGTGGTATACGTGGATATATTGCCGGGAAAGTATGCCCGGCTTTCCGGACGTTTGGTCCGCAAAGGGTGTTCACCTGACTCAACTGCCTTACAGTGATGCTCCTATTGAAGTTGGTCGGGCTTTTTGAATAGCAGCATGGATCTATTGATACGAGCGCTGAAGGAAGATTTCTGGCATCGTTCTGCTCAGGTTTTTGGACTGATGCTGAAATGGCGCACGTCATATCGTAATGCAAGTGTGTGTGGTATTGAAGCAAACGTATGCCGCCTTTATCATGTGCCAGCGTGATTATAGTACCGACGTTTGCGTTACAATTTTTAATTTAGACTGGTTGTATGAAACCAGACGCGGCTACTGAGTGCGCAGTGCTTTATATCACGCGATGGACGAGACAAATGGTGTCGGCAATCGACATGTTGGCTTTATTGTGTCATTTCGTCAATTCACAAGGTTCTACGAATTGTTAATCCTTCAAAAAAGTGCTATGGAATGTTCCGTTTTTCGTCATTGAACACAAGGTGAGCGTTTCAGTTTTGCGGTACTCGCCCAGACCGCACCGTCTTGTTCTGCGGTGCATATGTTGCAATATACGTTCCACTTAACGCCTACCATTCGCCGCATTCAGGGCTCGGCCCTGCGGGCCCACCAACAGAATGCAAGTAATTGCTTTTGCCTTGCTTGGACTATTGATATGCCGCCGAAAACCGTTATAAACCATGCCGCTCCAGCGACTTCCCAGCGACCGTGCCTTAATTGTTCTTGTTGGGGACCCCAAAGTGAGGAAGAAAACTACGTACTTGTCAACAGCTGATGCTTCGTGCCGTAACTGGCGCGCTTGACACATTATTGCGATTATGATGTAAATAGGGGATGGATGAAACGTAGCCGGTTGGGGTGGGCGTGTGTTCTCAACAGTTGCAA